AAAATCTCAAAAGTTCTCAACACACTACATGGAGACCTGTATTTTTTGAAAAAATTGACCGATCTTTATGCGGTTTTCGATATCAGATGTGATATTTCATCGGCTTCAAAGAGAGCTGGAACACTCTGAAAAAGTCTGCAGAACAAAACTTACACAGGGTGTAAAGTGGAACCATTACACTATGGTCTACATTTCCAATGCTGATGCCTGAACTCGAGAAATTTTCATCTGATCAATAGTCAGTCATATTATATTGAACAACAATACTCTGTGTCTCATACTTGGGCAATAAATATTGGAAATCAGTTGATAAGAATCATCGATATGAGGAAACAAGTTTGAATTGAGAATTCTCAACCTGTATTTCAATTAGAGGTGAATTTTCGAAAACGTCTCGAGTTAATAGTCTAATATAAATAATGGATATCGAGAAGGCCGTTGCTGAATATACTGAATCGAATGGGCCATGGTTTTAGTCACCGTTTTTTATTTTATTTACTGAAATGAGATTTTGTCCTTTTTTCTTATCATCCTGTATACTCCACAATGGTGTTTTTTCGTCTTTCATTGTCCTCCATAGAACATGAGAACAATTCTTCCCAATATTCAGCTCAAGTGGAGTTCTAGAAAAAAAATTCAAGAAATGCAAGACTTTCGAAAAAAATTCTAACTTTTGTTCCAATGGCCAATTGAGGAGAAATCACACAAACTTTTCGAGATGAGGTCCCATTGTATCATAATATGACTGACTTTTGATCAGAAAAAAGTTTCTCGAGTTCTGGCAGCATTGGAAATGTAGACCATCGTGTAATGGTTCCACTTTACTCCCTGTGTAAGTTTTGTTTTTCGGACTTTCTCATAGTGTCCAAGTTCTCTTTGAAGCTGATGAAATATCACATCTGATATCGAAAACCGCATGAAGATCGGTAAATTTTTTCAAAAAATACAGGTCTTCGAAATAAAGTCAAATTATGATGATTATAATAATGTCCCACTGACAAAATAAATGATAAGAAAACTAAAATCTTAAGACTATATGAAAGAGATTATAGGTGAATTTAGTGAATCGATTGTCAGCTTAATGAATATAATATAATCCCACTCGATTTTGTAGTTATTATAAATTTCGACTGGAATTTTTTACACAGCGTTTATTTCCAGACAGCCAAGTCAAATTTCTATCTGAAATTATTGTTGCAATTTCTATTTAGTCAAATTTATCAAAAACTAGAATAAACATGAAATTCTTCTCATCTGCTTGATGGAACATGAAAGAATCATCTGAGATAGGACTAATGCCCCGAAAACCGCGAGGTTCTTTCGAGGTGAACTTTACATATAACCAGCTCTAGAATATGATCCATGCTCTACCAGATGTATGTCGATATCGGAAACTTCCGCATGAATCTTCAGATATTCAAAATATAATCTACTCATAACTACTCATGTAGGTAGGTATAGTTTATGCAAAGTCAGTTGAACAGATCATCGAACGAATGTCGGGTCGCGCTGCCGCACTCTTTGAACTTCCAAAGGGACCGATGACGGCTTGCGGTGTTTTTCGAACTGCATGACTTTGCATAAACTTTACCTGGGGTGGATGTTCCGCTATAATGCACAGAATCACCCTGTAGATCATGACAGGAAAAAAAAAAGTCTATTGGAATACATTACTGAAAAATAGGTGAAACACTGACTATACACATGTGAAACCTTATGCGTATCGCTACTTAAGCAATTATCTACTGTATGTTGAACATCTATAATTCAATACGATTGTGACAATTTCAACATTGAATTTACATATCCAAGATATTCACCAAATACACCTTATGTGATATCAATATACTCTTGTAAAAACAGTTTATTCGACAGTATTTCCATTAGCATTACAAAGAATATCCTATAGATATTGGATAAATAATGAAAACAATTTACATAATATACATGGTGAGTCCGTTTTTTGTAGCAGGACTTCAAATAGCTCAAAGAACACATATTCTCAAGATGAAAAGTTTATGTGAACAAATTTTATATGCGTGGGAGCTTCGTTTCCAATATACCTACAGGGAAAATTCGAAATTTCTTCAATGTGTATCAAGTTTTCTCCTACAATTCTCGAAATAATGAATTGAAATTTGTTATAACTGTTCCACTTGAAAAACTCGATATTAACTATAGGATAATACACTTTTGGGGGTTGTATCCAATGTGAACTTTTTTATTAGCTGTCTCGATCTGCTCTCAATGAAAAATTAATGAAGATTCTCTGTTCCATTGGGATACTTTTTGCTCTTCTATATTATATTTCTCGTAAACTGTATGGATTTTTCCATCAGCTTTTATATGATGTGTTAATGAAACTTCCTACAAAAAAATGACTCACCCTTTATATATAACCTATATATATATTATATATAGGTAACATATAGCGGTATCCATTGCCGGACAATTATTTACTTTGCCTAAAGTTGATTTTGATGTTAGAACGAAAAATTAGCATAACACTTGTTCATCGAAATGATATAAATTCCAAGTTTCATTGAATACTGAACACAATATAATACTTTTATACTAAGTATGTGCATGGTCTTTCGTCCACAGAATATTGATGAAGTTTAATACAGTATGTGTCAAATGTCAGAGCTATATGATATGCCGTTAATAGTTAATAACTTTTTCTTAACAAAACGGCAATGCTATGTTACCAGTATGGTCTTAATGGATAGACTTCTTATACCTATAGTTGTCTTCGATGTGTCGTTTTCAGTATGAGATATATAAATTTTAGTACGCAGCATTATGCATGGTAATCCTCATATGGGTAAACGATTATTCAAATGCTCATTCGTTTTTGTATGTCTACTATAATTATGGGAGAACTATTAAATATTACTATACCATATAATATATACGCGACAAGCGTGGTTCATGGAATTCAATTAAAATTTTTACATGAATGCAGTTCATGCACCTGAGCAAATATATACCGGGTGTCAACGAATCTATTAGACAAGTCTTAACTTCTAGACCATTAGGTGAATCAAAATGAGATTTGGTATAGGTAAATGGTATATGAAGAGGAGAGTTTTCACATATTTCTCACTCTCCGGTCACTTCCGGTTTCACCGAAGATGGCTCCGGTTCTGAATTTTTAAATGGAACACCCTGTATATTGTAACATTTTTGGATTTCTGAGACAATTCTAGATCAGAATGTGACATTCTCGAGTTTTTATGCCTACTTAATTTTTTCGGAGTCACTTTTGAAATTACATCTAGGTGGCCATGATCGGAACTAAACTAATCTAAGGACCTCAGGTGATATCAGAAAATCACAATCGTGAAGTTCATGTGAACAAATAGTGAAGTAATATGCGCCGTGGGAGCTTCGTTTCCAATACACCTATATATAGGGAGTCGAAGGGAATTCGATATTGCTTCAATGTTTTCAAGTTTTCTCCTATAATTTTCAAAATAATGAATCGAAATTTGGTATAACTATTCCACTTGAAAAACTCAATATAAACTATACAGGATATGATGCACTTCTGGAGGTTGTATCCAAATTGACCCTCTTGAACTTTTTTGTTTGCTGTCTCAGCTCTCAATGAAAAATTATTGTAGATTCTCTGTTTCATTGGGATACTTTTAACTTTTCAATATGCTTCTCGGAAACTGTATGGATTTCGATATAAATGCAGAAAATAATTCACTTGCGTGATGAAACTTCCTTGTCACTGAAACTTCGCGATTGTAATTTCCTGATATCACCTGAGGTCCTTAGATTGCTTTACTTCCGATCATGGCCACCTAGATGTAATTTCAAAAGTGACTCCGAAAAAATTAAGTAGGCATAAAAACTTCCGGAAATGTCACATTCTGCTCTAGAATTGTCTCAAAAATCCAAAAATGTTACAATATACAGGGTGTTCCATTTGAAAATTTAGAACCGGAGCCATTTCCGTTGAAACCGGAAGTGACCGGAAATAGAAAAATATGTGAAAACTCTCCTCTTCACATTCCATTTACCTATACCAAATCTCATTCTGATACACTAGATGGCCTAGAAGTTATGACTTGTCTAATAGATTCGTTGACACCCGGTATATATAGATATGTTTTTGATGAAATCCTTTATTTTAACTAAGATGAAACCTATTGATGAAAAATCCTATGTGTTTGATCCTTGAATTCGATCATAACATATTGTTCAAAAATTGTTCTATCCGTCATTCGGTTGCCCCCTTACGAGCTACCCTCAGAAGTCTTCGAGACTCTTGTGCGAGCAAGGAATGACGGGGGCCTTACCTTTTATAACTTGTGATCCCAAACACTTTCTTGTGCATGCCATCAGAAAAATTTCTGCAGTCGATGGGAATTGAACCCACGACCGGCAAGCGAATGCGGATCAGAATATTGGCACTCTGTCTGCACCTGGCCCCTTTAATATAGGTACAATAATTGAATAGATTCAATATAATGAGTATAATTATTATTATACGTTTGATTTTGATATTGTATAAATACGAATAATATAATATCATCAAGTATATATAGCTAACTTTACATGTCATTATATCAAAATAAAAAGTACAATAAAAATGATATATCGAAGACTGGAACCTTTGGCACGATAATACACTACACTGTTTTACCACTAACCAAACCGATTAAAACTAATCTCCTCCTGAAGATGCTAACATAGTTAGCGAAACACGTGCCGAGGCGTTAAAAAAATCGGTTTGGTTAGTGGTAAAACAGTGTAGTGTACAATAAAAATGGATTTGGTTGACGTTCCATATACAAATTATAAAGACGAGCTTCATATTATTTGTAAATCCATTGTTAATTCTCTCTATATATATAGATTCCTTTGTTTTGATTCATAAGTAGATATGATGTTCTGATTCTTAAAATGTCAGATATGAGATTGATAAGAAGATGCCAAGAGGAAGTGGCCTATGTTTCCTGAATTTTGAGCAGTTATACCAGTTGAAAATGTTTGCAATATCGCTCAAAACATCAGCAGGTAGGTACATCCCAAAGTTTCGTGTCACAATTCTTGAGGGAACATGGTATGAATAATTGAAATGAAAAGCTATACAAGGTGTATCTCCATGAGTGAACGAGATTTATATACCTGCCTATATACAAGTAGCATGATTGTGAAAATTTATATATATAGGAACGGTGAATGAACCATGCATAGATAGGCAATCCACCTGAAATATTTTCGTAGTGTGGAGCTATACTGAGGGTTTCTCTGGAAGTGACGCTATCTTTCTTTTTTTCGATAGGACACCCTATATTTTACATTCTTGAAATCCTCTCATGAGATTGACATGATTCGAAAATATTTTAGTTTGATTCTCCATATTCCTAACCATATATTGTCATACATTTATGTTCATACTGATACTCATTTTCTCATGAAAGCCTTTGAATCAAGCTCTTGTTTTTTTTTCACAATGTTGGATAATTATTAATAAATTGATAATTGTTATGGATCAACATCATTTTCTTGCCTACATCAGACTTGGAAGATGATATAGCTGATTGTGATAATGGTGATGAAGCAACCTATTCTATACTATAGGATGACAAAAAAAAATATGTTTAATTCAAAACACACACTTCCTGCGCTATTTGAAATGCTGTCAATTCATTGGTGTTATTGATGTGACGTATTAGCCCCACCACGCCTATTGTCCTCGAGCTGACCAATCACACTGCACCAATCCGATATGGCAAGGAATCAGAGAGAGAGAGAGATAACTATAGTTACTAATACGTTACGGTCATATCTGACTTTTTGAACTACTGAATAGAAGAATTCTCTTCAACTTTAACTTATTCTATTGATTGTACATTAATTAGAAATCATGATTCATCGAGTGAAATAGGTTTGGAAGGATTTCATCCCTCAGTATGGTCTTCCCCATTTTCGGTAAGACTTTCTGGTCAGAAATTTACCTATTCAAATATGGAAGCATTCACTGAATTTGATGCAAGAAATTCAACCACGGTTTTTGTCTCCTTACGCTACGCGTCGGTAGGCAACACACCCTCAAGCTAATATCTACTATACATTTTCCCCTCGTACAATAAATAACTGTTTTTTTTTTTCATTCAACTATACCCATCATAACTACACAATTCACTAAAAAACTTTGCCACATTATTGAAATAATAATTATTAGGAGTTTGTTCTATTTTGATCCAAAGTGACACATTGTTTGACAAGCAAATATTGCATTTGCGAGGCAGAGCGTCTAGCGAAACCTAAAAAATTAACTATAAATAGATATGTGAAGTAACCACCAATGTGACTTCCTTGTCAGATTATTATAATACCTTCATCATATAATAATATAGGTAAGTAGATAGAAGCAAGACCTCCAGACTACTTTACATTAGAATATTGGTGGACGATGACTTTGTTACAATTTGTGTTGACATCATGCATCATAAGAAAATCAATACCATACCCGAAACGTGATGCCATGCCATGTAGGATGCAACGCAACGAATAATCCGTGTGGTGAGAATATTCTACCTGCATTTACAGATCAGGTTTATTCAATTTTCAATGATGTTCGTATTGTGATTTCAATATAAATACAACCACAGAGTGGCCCATTTGTGTATTCTATTGAATTGATGAATCGATGAATTCATTTGGACATGATTTGGACCAGGTGTCAGCCGTAATAGCAAATGTCGCGCCGCAGTGCCAGATATAGGAAAAAGAAGTAGAAAATGTTGGGTTAAAATTCGTAATATGCGTATCCATATACCTATTCTGGAATTCTTGAATTATTTCAGTTGAATGACCAGATTGAGTTTTGTCATTTTGCCATCACAAGAAGATATAAAGGGTGGACAAAAAAAGAATCTATATATACATATTCTCAACCTTGAAACCCTGTCAGAAGTAAGGACATAGACGACATACGTCATACGTTCATATGAAGTAGTTTTTCTTGAAATGGGTAGCATAGTCATTGTGCCATTGACGAACACCCTGAATATATTTTTAGTACAATAAATAAGTATCTATGTTTATAATATGCCGTGCTTATCTCCATATCTGGCAACACCAGTAGCCGCGAGGAAAGAAATAATTCATAACTCAATCGGGCTATTGTATTCCGACTGAACCAACCATTCTTTGGAAAAAAACAAAATACAACAATGGAAACTACAAACACCAGAATCACGAAACAATACCGTGGCGTGCTATAACTAGATGTCGCCGTTATTTACTGCGAGACGCAATTAAAAAAAGTTGAAAAAGGGAAAAAGGAGAAGAAGAGGAAGAAGTACGTGATCCGGTAAGTCACGGTATCCGAGCAGAACGTGAAGGGAAGAGACCGGCAGATAGCGATGGCCAATGGCGGAAGCTTGCCCCCAGCATTTGTTTTATTGCTTTTGATGACATTGCCATACCATTGGCGAACTCACGCGAGGAACACTCCCACTTTCGATAGTTTTTCAGACCCGGACAACTTCTTCTTGTCTCCGTGCAGGCTGCCAAAGACACCGAAAATTATTGGAACGTGAAGAGCTGCTTGAGGTCGGTTCGGGTTAGGTTCGTTCACCGGCTTACAAATTGACGTTCTCGATATCCGAAACAATCTCACACAAGCAGTGCCCACTCTGTTGAAAATTAGTTGACAAAAATTTGTAGTAGACGTAGGTCTTAACAATTCAGGTATTCATATAGTTTCAATTTTTCTAATTTATTTCTGCAAACTATTCGTGATGCACTGTTGATTCCTTCAGATATAACATATCAAATTTCTTCATGATTCCATATGCTGTTTCCTCATTGATCACGAATTCCAGTTGCACTGCATAGGTATGTAGTTTATTGCCTTTAGATCACTTTGTTCCCATTCTTCTTTCTTGTCTTCATTAGATATTTCTCTCGTTACTACTTGATCACATTTCTTCATTCACAAATACATAAAGATTCGTTTAATTTTTCCCGTCAAACACATCAGGTATTGTGATGTCCGTCATTTTTGACATTACTTCTCTTTCGTTCTCGATTCAATTCGGGACTGCATGGAATTTCCTTTTCAATGAAACTTTCACTTTCACTATTTCCTTTTCAACCACGCTATGCTACCATGTTAATTAATGAACATTTTCTATTCCCCTTCACTAAAACTCGGGTTTTCCTTTTCTCATTTATTTTTACTCAAAATACATTGTCACATTTCATGATCAAGAAAAGAAATGAATCCCTATTTTAGACAACAACACCATGACAATATATCATCTCTATGACCTATCTTTCTTTACCTACATAAATGTACCAAGTATTTCAACATATAGTTGAATCATCAAAAGCATGTGTGGTAAACTATTCCATCATTTACGCATTGTTGATATAATAAATATTGAATTGATGATAATTTCATGAAACTCTCTTGATAAAATTAATAGTTGAGTAGGTAGGTACCTATCTATTTTGTATGATATAAGATAGTAAAGTTGTCATAGTTTCTCAGAGACACAACGCATGGCTGAGCCAGTTTTACACAACTAGAACTATAAGGGATGCTGTTAACCTTTCTTTTCAATATACTCATACGCTCTTTCATTGAATACGACTGTACCTATAATCCATTCATGTGGTGACAGGAAGCAATGGATTCAGGAAAACATTGCTAAAAACTTTTTCTCGACGGATCTTTATGGTTTTTGTGGTGCTGAATCTGAAAATCTAGCTATCGAGTAGATTTGAATATGGCTTCACCATGCATACGAAAATCGCAATAAACAATGAAAATTTGGAACTTATTTTGATTTTTTGCTTATAACTTCCAAACGACGTGATTTAGAGAAAAAATACACCAAACAACAGAATCAGCTAGAGTTTCCGCCTAGTGTGTTTCACCATGGAGTATCCTGAACCTCCTTCCATGACATTTATTTTATGCCTTCATTTTTAAATCATGTGTGAACAGGCGACAGAAGATGCAGACAATCTCAGAGCCTTCAGTTACAACTATGCCAACAGTCTCTCATATAAATTTGAAAAGATAGTGATTGTAAGCGTTGACTTGTTGGTGATCATGATTTGGATTCCTACAGACTAAATAGCTTGACTATTCTTTCTTGAACACAATTACTCAAACGATATACCTGAGTATGATATTTTTCAGATATCCTGCCTAGTTCTGGTACCGGCAATGATGAGCAGGAGGCTACTGAGGAAATGCCAGGTACCTCGTGTGAAACTGTATAGGCATCAATATCCATGTTCATCTAACCAACATATCACCAGTCATAACAACATAACTTCAGTTACAACTATGCCAACAGTCTCTCATATAAATTTGAAAAGATAGTGATTGTAGGCGTTGACTTGTTGGTGATCATGATTGGGCTTCCTACAGACTCAATAGCTTGACTATTCTTTCTTGAACACAATTACTCAAACGATATAACTAAGTATGATATTTTTCAGATGTCCTGCCTAGTTCTGGTAACGGCAATGATGAGCAGGAGGCTACTGAGGAAATGCCAGGTACCTCGTGTGAAACTGTATAGGCATCAATATCCATGTTCATCTAACCAACATATCACCAGTCATAACAAACATTGAATATAGATTTTAATTGATAGGTATCTCTTTTGTGTTTCAGAAGTAGAGTCTCCCAAGGCGAAAAGGCCACGAAAGAAATGGTCCTTCCGTAATAGACCATTTACTGCCTCAACTGCACTAAATTAATATTTGGATGATTGCATCTCAGGTGAATTTTGAGAAGATTCCAATACCTACCTCCTCTCTTTATAGTCTTCCTGGATAAGCATTATGTTCCTCAAACATAGAAATTTTCTTTCGTGCGCTCCAAGAGATAGAAGGACACAGAGATCGTCCTGTGAATGAAATAAAATATATTATTCGATCGCCTGTATACGGTGTCATCCATAGAGACACTCTGTGGGTATGCACTCACCTCAAAGATTTAAAAAAATAGCCAATATGGGTTGAAACAAATAGCGGACAAGCTACTATCAACCCTCTCATAGTTCGATTACTGTGAACCTAATGAAATCAGCAATGAACTTCTTCAAGTTCCATCACCTTCATCAACGATAACAAATACACACGAAGTGTCAAATAAATGGTAATTAGAAAATTGAGCGTTAGTATAAAAACCTCTTCATAATAGAACCAAAATTTACACTGATTACCCTACCAAATTATGTAAATATCTGGTTACAGCAATGAAGGCTTGACTGTGGCTTGAGAATACGTAAAGTTATGTATAATTCATCGAACTATTTATACCTACTATAATACTAGTCCATACGATATAGTGTTATGTTATGTGTTCAGGAATTATGTAAACATCATTCACGTCTTAAACTGCATCTATATTTTATTCACTTACTTATTCTATTCCCCAGATTGGTGATGCATATTTATTCACCCATTCACCAGCGGATATAAGTTATTCAGTGATGGACTATCTATATGGTTGACGTCTCATCAATTCTGAGGCACTATAGGGCAGTGTACTAGGATCAGTTCTGTTCCTTTCATGAAACTGGACTCGATGTTGGTGCTGATTGACAAAAATTCAATGCTCTTATTAGCCGTATATTTTTTCTGTTCTGGTTCCCACGAAAAGGAATATCCTGTAATGTTCAGAGAACATCGTGAGAACCAAGGCAAATAAGGTGGGAATTGATGTTCTTCTTAAATTTCTGGGGGTTATATGCCTCGGGGAACACCTCCCTTGGCATTGTGTTCCAGATCCTCGTTGTTCGTTGGATGAACGAGTCTTTGGAAATAGATGTTCTGATGCAGGTCTCCAGAGTGACCACGAAGGGGTGCGAAGCCTCAACTCGACGGGTTAATCTCGAGAGGACTGCCAATGGACGAACAATTGTTGATATTTCAGAAGAGCATCGTCCATGAAAATATCTATAATATAGGGCCAGATCGCCAACTTGTCTATGGTGTTCCAGAGAAGTGAGTGAGTTCGTGAGCGAAGCATCACCCGCGAGACGAATTGCTTTTTATTGGATAGAATCCAACAGTTTCAGGGTATGTTTGGGTGCTGCACTCCAAATATGGGAACAGTATTCCGGGACAGGTCGGATTTGTGACTTATAGATCATGAGCAGCTGACTGGAAGTGAAATAGCTCCTGGCCCAGAACAAAAAGCTAAGTTTTTGGGATGCACTTTCAGCAATTGATCTCACGTGATTTTTCCCAAAAATGGTTATTGCTGATAGTAATACCAAGCATCGAAATGGATGTCCTCAAAGGTATGGTTACTCCTGACATGCTTATGTTGGGCACAGTGAGATCGGCTTTCCTAGAGAAAAGGCATGTTTGTGTTTTATTCGCATTGAAATCTACCAAGTTATTGGATCCCTATTCTAGAATTGTTGTTGTCCATATTCTCCCTCGTTAGTTTCTGATTTGCCTGGATGGTATTGGAGCCCTGGAAGAGAAGGCGGTATTGAGGGTATACTATCATCCGCAAAGCTGTGTATTGGAACTGGACATGAAGTTGCTTCCAACAAATCGTTGATATGGAGTAGAAATAGTGTAAGTGCTTTAATTGATCTTTGCGGAACACCAGCATTTATGATAAGACAGTCAGATGAAACAGGTTTATCATTATCATACCAAAGATTTGAATACGATAAACCTGCCTCGAATAATGTCTAGATATAGAGGAGGATCAGTCTGTTTTTTTAATCTCATCCTCAGGTTTAACTTGTCCTACTTCGACAATCAATTGAACAATTTGTTGTCATGGAATTTGATGAGCACATCATTTCCATAGTTTTGAGTCTTGGTGTAATTTTTTAAAAGCCATGTGATATTGAACCCTTGTGAATAACCATGCAGGGATCAGAACACATCAAAGTCAGCATCACATTTTCTTTCTGGTGGAGATGATTTTGTGTGCTGATTCCTGGTAACGAACCACACCACTTTGAGATATGCTGGACTACTATATCACAGATCCTTCTAAAGAAGTTATTGGGTCGAGACTGATGAATTTAAAAAATTAGAATAATTCTCCATGCACTAGTGTCCTTTCAATAACTATTCTAGCAGTCATCATCAATGAATTTTCAAATTCGAAACAGAGAATTTGCGCTAACTTCATCATGACCCCTTATCGCCCCTTATATCGAGACACAGTTTCTCCACAGCAAAACAAAAAAAACATGACAATAAGAAGAAACGAAAAAAAAAACGTTATTGTTATTAGATATAGTATTTTAACAATGAACAAACATCAATCATCACATGTAGTGAGAGAGTGAGTTGAAAAATGAATGATCACTGTTGATAATTTCACATATCGGTAATCTCGTCGTATCCGCATCGTGTGTGATAATTTGTTGGTCCGTGAACCATATAGGGAAGTTTTTTTGTTATAAAAAGCATTTCGCCACCCCGATAACCAAACAAAACCCTGTCAAATTCTCCATGCCCATAAAAATCCATTCAAAACTTTCTTCATGTCCAATTTATCTTGTAGATGACAGCGATGTTGGCACAAACGAGAATGTCTACGAGGTAGGCGATTGGGGCAGTAGCAAAAGAGAAAATCCACTCGGCTAGTCAACAGGAAATTAGTTTTTCTCCAAGCCGGCATAGAAAGTGGCCTGTCGCTTAAACTTGACAGACAGGAGAGATCTACTTTCTCTGCCTAGGCAGGAAAAGATTGTTTCTATGCAAAGCACCAAGCAATTTAAAAGAAACTGGTAGTCAAAATTGACACTGACATTGGGTGAACACAAAATGATAGGGTTTTGAATGAAAAAATTATACAAAATTGGTTTTATTACATTTGGAGAAAACATTGTATGTTTTGTAACAGCCTTTTATTCCTAGGGCCTTTACTTTGACGCTTGTTCGGACAAAGACTACTCTGGTACTGGTCGAGGGGGGGTCTCGGGCGCCAGATTGTTTATGAGGTGGATTTCTCCACCTGTTCTGCACAATACTATTTTTGGACAGAGGCCCAAAGTAGCAACAGTGGAGACAGGTACAGGAGGTATACCTACCTCAGTAGCTACAATATAAACCAGGGGTCAATGTTATTGAATCTTCCTGAATCAAGAAGCCACGGGAATGTAGGCTTCAATTACATACCCGGGGTTGAGCCTGGAATACTCGTTGCTATCTTTATGCTGGATAATTAGAGTAATCACAGCAAACAT